ACGGAAGGTGCGAAGTGTGCGCGGATTTGCAAGCTGGGAGACGAGGCGGCTAGCACTTTGACTGCGATTGCAGGCGTCAAACGGGTGTGTGTGTGTGTGTGTGTGTGTGTGTTCGTCTGTGGTTTAAGCGCCCACCCGATGCCCAGGAATTGCGCCGTGGAAGAGGAGAGCCTGTCTCCCCGCTCCGCAGCCTCCCTCGAGGGAGAAGGGGGGGCAGGTGAATGAAGGGGCGATAATTGAGGCACCCCCGGGTGTTGACCTACGCCAGAACTTCTCAAGAGCGCCAGTATTGTCCATCGTTCTAGCCAAGGAAGCTGCCACTCCTTGATCATCCGCGTGGGTCCGGCAGCGGGGGAGGTCTCGCGTGTTTATGTGTTAAGAAGTGATGGACTGCTGCTCCAGGGCTCTTTTCGTATTCCTAACTATTCCCAAAGTTGGGGATAAGGGAGAGAGGATTTGCCCTTATTACCTTGTAGGCGTACAATGTGTACATACTATACCTTACTGTGATTATCCGGCCCTCTTTCTCTCTCCCGGCCTTTTCTCTCTCCTTGTGATGTTTCTTCTAATTGAAAATCGTTAACTTTAGGGGGGGGGGTAAGGGAGGACCTGGAAGGGTACGGGGGAGACCGGCGGGCTAGTTTTGCATAAGTGTAATTTATCGCAAAGGTGAAAACAATTAACTGGCCTTTTCTCCGAGAGACTGGGGGCTCCAGGGACCTTTCACCACCACCATTCACTCTCCTACAAGGCGGGTATAAAGCTGCGCTATGTATTTGTTGTTGTTGTTTTGCTGTTAAAATGACACCTACCAGACGCTCCCCCCCCCCCTTTAAAAAAAAAAAAAAAAGATTGGTTGCTATCAGGGCGCAGAGCCTAAATCGACATTAAATATGAAAAGAACCCAATCCCATCTAAGCGAATCTTCTCGCCCTGTGGGGCTCGAATATGCATTTTTAATGGCTCCAGGAAAGGCCGGGGGGGGAGGGGGCGGGAGCGGAGGAGAAGAGGACGGGAAAGCAACGCTTCCTTCTTCAACCAGGCGTCCCAACCCATCAGTCCCAAAACCTTGCCCCACCCCGACGAAGCGACGTGGAAATGGACCGACCCAAAAGTTGCGGGATGTCCTCAAGGTCGGATATCAGTCACTACCATCTTTCGGCTGCTAGGACTGCTGCGGTCCAGCTCGGTGAGCACCTCAAATCTATTCCCTCCCGCCCCCAATTATTCTCTCTTCGGCCCAGCTCACCAGAAATCACCGGGAATTCTTTTAATAATTGATAGAAAGGGGGCTTTTGTTCCTTCACCTCCCCCACCTCCGCCCCCCCCCCCGCAGCTTCTCCTCTCTGTTTTGCTGGTCTTCGCAGAGACTATATTCAGACGGCGCTACTATTTATTTACTCCCTGAATCAGTTCTGCAAATTTCTCTTACGTTGGGAAAAAAAAAAAAAACGAACAAACCGGGGTGGAAAAATGGAGCAGATGTGACAGGAAAGGGACCCCACCATCTGGCCCAAAGATCCGAACCCATCAGATGGCAGAGGGCTTTGCATTCGGGGTAGAAAACCCCATCCGTTCAAATACCCCCCAAAGGGCGAGTTCTGCAGTCGGGGGTCTTCCCGGACTTTCCCGTTTTCCGGGCCATGAATATAGTAAAGGGTCTAAATCTCGTACTGACTTAGGTAGGAAAGGGGGCGGAAGGGGGCGCCAAGGAAGGTTCTGCCCCTCAGGATGGCAACCCTGAACTGGACAGCATGGGTCCTCTGAACGGAACCAAGCTGCTTTGCAACAAGTGAGCGCAGGCTAAGGCGCCGAATCTACAAAGCGAGTCGAGTGGACGTCTCGGCCCGCATCAATCGGTTAAGGAAGGGCTTACGTCTTCTAGGAAACAAACAGCATGAGTTGAATTGACAGCGGTAAAAATCAAACCGTCTCTGAGCCCAGATATTTGGTCCAGCAGACAAAGTGGTGATTAATAAAGGAGAATAGTTTTGCTCGGAGTTGAAACGAGGGGTCTTCGGTGCTCTCTGACCTTTCTTGCAGACGTTTCATTACCCAAACTAGGTAACAACATCAGTGCTAGTGGGCATCCCGGATATATTTCAACCTTCCTACTTTCGCCTCCGGATGACAGCCGACAGACACAACCCTCCGCGGAAAATGGAGCTGTTCCGCGGCGCTTACTCCGGGGTACCACACCTCGCAACTCCCAAGAGTTGCCCTGAAGCCATCCCTGAAGTATGATCCAGTCCTGTCTCCTCCCCCCTCCCCCGCTTTCCTCTTCTAGAATAAGGCTGTTTGAAGGTCAAGTGTTCCGAAAAAGCAAACCGAGAGGGTTTCTCTCCAGCTGTATGGTTACAGTAATCCCAACGAAGACACTGGCTTCCAAACGGGAATGCTTGAGGAATCCCAACGAGGAATATAGACCAGTGTGCGGTTTCCCCTACATTTCACTTATTTGCAGCATTTTGAGAAATCAGATTAAAAATCTGGGCATCCTTCTCCCTCCCTCCCTACAGCTAGCACCGGAGGGGAAGACCAGGCGTTAACCCGAGAGCGGGGAACTGACCATAAACGGGGGCAAAGGGTCTGCTTTCTGGTCCTCGCGCTTGGTTTATTAGGCTTGCTGATAACGCCGCGTAGAAGTCTGGTCGATATGCATTTCAGACATTTCTCACGTTAATTATCATCGCTAAGACCGAATGAGAAAGCGGAAGGGGGGGGGAGGAAGGAAGGAGGAGGAGGAGAGAGAGGGGGGGGGAGGAGCTCATCTGTAGACGCCCGGTGTTTCCAAACTGTCTTGTTAGGAAATAGGTGACAAGCGTGTGTACACACACACACACACGAACAAAGGACGCCTATCTAGCCACATCTCCCCCTTAACGCTCAAGCTCACAGCACAGCCAAACTCAGCGTTTGCATCTCCCCATCACCGGCGTGAGTTTCCCACAAGCGAGCTACTGGGCTCGTAATTAAACGAGCAGGAATGCTAATTAATAATAAATCACTGGCAGACGTGCCAGATAAAACTCCCCTCTCTCCTTCTTTCCCTCTCTCCCTCCCTCCCTCCGGGGCAGGCTTTGCAAGGCCTGGAAAGACAAGCAAGGCAGCCGGGGGGGGGGGAATGCAAGCGCCTCTAAATATGTACAAGAGATAATTAGGGAGGGGGGGTGTAGGATGAGGAAGGAAGGCGAAAAAAAAAAAAAGATTTAGGAGCTCAACTCCTTTCAGCGAAAGGCATCGCTGGAAGCCACTCGCTGGCTTTCTCTCCCCTCCCCCCCACCAATCAATACCAGCCAACGATTAATTGCTACAGGCCAGAACCCATCAAACACAGGTGAATGAAGCAATTGTCAGAAATAGGCGGGATTTCCCCCCCCCTCCGCTTTTTCTTAAATACATTTGTAAACATTCCTGGATGGCCTCGCTCTGCAGGAAGCCGGGCAGCTTATAAACAAAAGATCGCCTCGGATTAGAAGGCAGCGCGCTGCGTTTGACACAGGCCACCCTCTTAGCAAGACAAGGCGCTGGAAGAATTTTATAGGTTACATCGGTGTGCATTCTTGCGCCTTCCCTCCCCGTTTATTACATTTATTGTTATTATTTGTATTTTTCCAGAGCAGGCGAGAGGCCAAACGGGGGGGGAGGGGGGGTCGAATGAACGGCGTCCTTTGCAAGGCTCCCTATTTGAAACCACGCGTTTCCGTGCAGGGTCTCACAGCTTTAGACCTTTAAACGCTACGCATCCTCAAGCGAGGAAGACCGCCGATCTCCGCGTCCCCGTAAGCCTCGCCATGTTACTCTTTCTCCAAACGGACCCTTCCCTGTCCGAAATGGGTACGGCGGTATTTTTCGCTTGACAGACCTACAGCAGCAGTGGCAAAATGATCGAAACCTCTTGCCGAGTTAGAACAATAGAAAGAGAGGCGACTTCCCGCCGCGGCCGCTAGAGGGTGCTGGCAAACAACTCGGCATACATCAAAAGAACAATATAGCGTACCCACAACACAAATTATTGTTCTCGCACTCTTCGCCTCCTCCGCTCCGAATATATCCAATCTGTTCTGCAAAAAACAGCGTTCGTTTCTTCCTCCCCCCTCCCTTTCCCCCAAAGCCCTTCCTCTCGAGCATTTATTTGGTGGCTTAAACACTCAACGCCTCATTTTTCACAACCCAGTGGTGAATTTTAATTGATTCACCAACCCCCTCCTCGCTGACTTTGAAATGATACACAGAAATAACCGAGACAAAGAGGAAAGGGAGTCGTCGGAGAAAATACACATCCGCAAAACCACCGACGCCCCCGTGAATCTTGCAAAACGCTGTCTTAATTTTTCAGCCAAGGTGAAGCCGCACTTCGGCGTTACACTGCACGCGTGTCTAACGGTACACACATAAACACTCATTGCTGAATGAAGCGCAAAGGCTAGGAAGGCGCCGCCGAGAAAAGCACGCTCCTTTTAAAGCACCAGCAGCCGTACCTTCGCCCTACAAGGAGAGGAGAGGAGACCAACCCCACTCTTTCTTCAAGAAGTTTACAGAGAGTGTATTGGGACAATGCACACACACGCACGCCTTTGACCCAACGCAACCCTAGCTCCTCCAGAAGAGGTTAGCCTTCTGACGACGGCTGCTCGAAGGTTTAACCCGCAGGGATCTGGAGAAAGAGAAGGGGGTCACCCTCCAGAACCGCAGAAGCGCCAGGCTCTAAGCCCAGGTCGGAGGCAGCTGAAAGGGAAGGCGTGTGAAGCGGGGAGCGACCAAGGCGTTGTCTTGTTAGCATCCCCAGCGGAAACCGCGAGACAAGGGTCATAGGATACCCAGCCAAGTTCAAACGCTCGCCTGGGCGCTCTTAGGAGAAGAAATCAAGTGGCCCGTCCGCACGTCTAGGGCCCTTTTCCTTGCCGGTTCGCAGGCACGTGAACACAAGCCTCCCCTCCCCTCGAGAGCCACCTCTGGAAATTTGGGGGCTCTTTCGCCCCCCCAGGCGAGCCACTTACCCGCCAGTCTTAAAGCTGACATTCTCTGGAACTCGGGTTCCTGCAGCCATTTCCACATTCTTCGGAAGGTCTCCCTGCCCGATTTCAGTTTACTCCAAGGTTTAGGGTTCCTTAGAAGGTCTGAAAGGGTCCCCTGAGAACGGCACAGCACCCGCTGGGCGAAGATGGCCTGGGGGATGCTGTAGCGCTTCAGCTCGGCGGTGATTCTCTGCGCCACTTCTTTGGTGTTGATCTCCTCCAGCTGGCCCGAGTTGTTGACCTGGCCGCTGGAGGAGGAAGGCGGCCTCTCCCGGCTGGAGGCCAGGACGGGCCCGTGGGGCTGCGGGTGGCCGCCGGGGTGGTGCATCCCGTTCAGGTGAGCCATCATGGGGGCCGGCGGGGTGGCTAGGCCCCGCGAGAGGTGCTGCTCGCTCCGGGTCAGCATGGCCTGGTGGGCCTCGAAGTTGGGGCTCAGCATCTTCTCGGGACCCGTCGGCCCGTAGTTGTGGAGGCCCTGCTGGGGGTTGTGGAGTGAGCCCAGGCCGTTGCCCAGCGGCGAGAGGCTCTGGCCCATGCCGGCCATCTCTTTGTAGGGCCCGTAGAGGTTGTTCATGGCCGGGAGCCCCCGCTCGTCGCGCATCAGGGTGAAGCTGCCGCTGACGTTGCCCGAGAGGCGCTGGTGCTGGTGGGGGTGATGGGCGTGCGGGTGGTGGGCGTGCGGGTGGTGGTGGTGGTGGTGGGCGTGCGGGTGGTGGAACTTGTCCGAGACGGTGGAGATGGGCGGCAGGGGCTGGAGCGGCGTCAGCGTGGTGTAGGTGCTGGCCATGCCCAGGCCGGGCGGCGAGGAGTCGCAGGGCATGCTCATGGCGTGGTGCAGAGGGATGGAGAGCTCCGGCCGGTAGTCCCCTGCCCCGTCCAGCAAGGAAGCCATGCTGCTCACCATGGCCGAACGCGAGGAGGCGGAGGCCAGCTCCTGGTGGGAAGGCGGCGGGCCCGGCGGCGGCGGGTGGACCCGGAGCGGGCCGGCGCTCCTGCCCGGCGGGTGATGGTGCGGGCTGGGGCTGCCCATCAACTCCTGCTCAGGGCCGGCCGGCCCGTGCAAGGGCCCCAGGCTCTCCATTGTCAGCTCTGGGTTCATGGCGCAGCTCTCCAGCTCTTTGGTGAGGCATCGATAGGGGGTGCAGGCAGCCTTCATTCAGTCCATGGGGCGAGCCGGCGGTGGTGGTGGTGGCGGCGGCGGCGGCCGTGGCTCCAGGGGTGTGCTGGGCGGGGGCGGGGAAGAGAGCGCTCCGGGCGCCCGGTGGCTGCGGCGGCGGCGGCTGCTGCTGCTGCTGTTGCGGTGGTGGCGGCGGCTCCTTTCCAGCCCACCGATCAAGGCTCTTGCCGCCTCTTGGCTGACGGCCGGGGCGCGCAAGGAGGGGGGTGGGGGTCGCTCTAAGGCCTCTCGGTTGTACCCGCGGGGGGGGGAAGGAAGCCCCCGGCCTTGCCGCGCCTCAGCCTGGCCAGCGCCGCGGCTGCCTCCTCGCCATGTCCGAGCCCTAGCCTGCCCTTCCGTCTTCTGCTGGGCTAGCGGGAGCTGTCCAGAGTTGCGCTCGCGCCTCGCCTCCCACCCACCCATCTGGCCCAGCCTCCGCGCGCGAGGGGGCGGGCGTTCCTCTTCGATTGACCAGCCTCCTGCCCAATCTGCGGACAGCCTCCGAGCCGCCGGCCGGGGAGAGGAGGGGGCGCAACTGCGAAGGTCCAGCCAATGGGGAGCCGCCGGGGGCGGAGCCGGCCGCGGGAGGCTTCAAGCTTGCCTGAAGATTCCCAGGCGCTGGTCTCCAAACGCCGCGGAGAAGCAGCGCGAGAGGATTTAAAGACGCGGCGCCCTCCGGGCTCCGACTGGTGGCGAGAGGCCCGGAGGTCGCCCGCGCTTGGGCACAAGCGGGACGCGTGCCTTGCACAAAGGAAGCGCGGGAGGCCCGGTGGCATCGTGGAGGGGCGGCCGAACCACACCCCGAAGCTGAATAGTTAACAATAATAAGAATAGTAACCGTAGTAGCAGCAGTAATCACTTCGCCGGGTCTCCACAGACTCTGCCTCACATGAGGAGGGGAGGCGGACGGAGGCTGTTCTTTCTGCGGTTAACTTGGCCGCTGAGGCGAAAGGGGGGATGTTCTTTCCCGCTCGCCGAAGGTCGAGTCTGCAAATCCTGGCGCTCCGGCGGGCCACCTTTGCGCAGAAGCCTCCCCCCCGTTCAGTCAGCCCCGCGGGCCGCCGGGTGGAGTGCCGTCTTGCCTTCCCGCCGAGCCTCAGCCACGGTCACAGGGGCGCGCGCTCTCTCCTCTCCTCTCCTCTCCGGGGCAGGACTTCGGGTGGGCAGGCGGGCAGCCCCGGGGCTGCGGAGCGCTGCCAGGCTGCGCCTCCCGCGCGGCGGCTGGAAGGGGCGCGGCGCTGAACTTTCGCCCAAGTTGCCTTTCAGCGGGACTCGGGCGGGCCGGCTGGCCCTCCAACCGCGCGGGCGGCAAACCACCGCGCCGGTAAAGCTGCGTAAATGCAGGTGCAGGGCAAGGAAGGAGATCGCTCTTTCCGGAGAGGCGCAAAAGCAGAAGCGGGCCTTAGGTCGAGTGGTTTTGGATCCGAGCGCAGCATCGACTCCCCCGCGCCGCCGCCTCCACTGCTGTTTCAAGCCGAAGCCCAAATGAAATCACCCTAGAAGCCGCTTTCCAAGGACATGCCCCATGGACACTACATTATCCTGAAGTTCCGAGTACTTGGTATTGAAAAGGGAGGTCTCTGCCCCGGGGACGTTACTAACCAAAGCTTTCTTTGCAGCCTGATGGGTAATAAACCCAACGCATCCCCGTCCTAAAACATTTGTGTTCGTCGCAACGGCTGCTAAGTTCTGATCCAGCTCACAATTAACCTCTGCTTGTGCATTTTATTGATTCTGCTTTGGTCGTGGGCAACGCAGAAGAGCTTTGAAAGGCACCTCGGCGCCCCCTCCCTTTCTGACGGCCCTCTTTCCTCTAGGAAACAGGAAAGGTCTTAGTCCTCCTCACGCCCTGCATATAAGTACCTTGGCTCGGTAATAAATTTGGGCTAGGCTCATCCAGGTTTGTTACACCCGTCGGAAGGGAAAAGCTGGAATATCTCAAGGCTTAGCTGGGCCGCTTGGCTTCCTTAAGGTCTTTCAATTTTGTGTCAATTCTTAATTTTGAAGGGCAAAAAATGTGCCTTGACCCATAATAATAAAGAGACCAATCCGTGTTGTTTTAAACGATCGTGGTTATTCTTTTAAGTAAATCTTAAGGGCCGGAGAATCTGATTCGGAAGACTTGTAGGAAATGCAGTAGACGACTGCATTCCATTTTCGACTGATCTAATTGGTTAGGAATTAAATCCCTTCAAATCTTTCCTGTCCAGGCTGGGCCCAAGCCTCTTTCCAGGAAACGCGCCTGGGCCTGGAGTTGTTCAGAGACCAGTCCGGCACAAATTAAAAAAAAAAAAAGCAGCGGGGTGCTGGTCGGGGAGGCAATGGCAGAATCTGGCAGAAACGGATGGCTGTAAAATAACAGTGACATGTTTCCCCTCTTCTAAAGTTGCTGTTTATGCAATATTAACAAATAATATTTGAGCAAGCGGGGCGTCCAGGACTATAAATACCCTCAGTGTTATCTGCCGATTCGGTAGCACAGTCCTAAGTTTCTTTACTTAAAAGTAACCTCATTGGGTTTAGTAAGGCTCAATTTGGTTGAGTATTCAGATTGGAAAACTTCCCTTTTTTAGCCTGTAATTCATCCTTGTCAATTTAGTACTTGCGCCTGCAGCTTCCCTCTCCAGTAAGCGGGCAACTAGGAGTAACTTTACAGGAAAGTAAAGCTCCCTGGGGATACGGCGCGGGTTGGGCCATCTTGGGACTCTTTAACAGCTCGCTTTGGTCCGGTCTTGTCCACTTCCATTGCTCTGGTGAATTTCTTGAGGAAGAGAAAGGTCGCCCTTCAAAACTTGCTGCTTTGGCTAATCGGCCGCAGTCCAAGAGTTTCGGCTTCTTCGCGAGGGTGGGGGAAGGCGTGGGGTGTAAGAACAGGTTGCCCCCCCCCGAAGAAGGGTTGAGCCCGGCTGAGGTTGCGCAGATGTTGCCTTTGTTTAAAGAGACAGCAATTAAGGAGAGGGGGGCACATAAGTTTGAGAAGCGTGACCCATTTTCTTTTGATCAGCTGTCAACGGAAGAGCGGGGGGTCTTCTCAAGACAGCCCCTTTCCAACTACTTCCAGCTGTTAGAGAAAACCTTGCTTAGAAAACAATTTGGGGCGGGCTGCGGAGAAAGGAGCCCCACTTTGGGATTAGAAAGGCTCGCCTGCAAAATCAGCGTTGAAAAATACCGGCCAGCCCGAAGCACTTTTTGTGTAGGGGACGCGCCGAGCAACACGAAACTTGCAAGCCAAGTTTACTCAGAAGTGCGTTCTGTACATTTAATTGGGGGTTGCTTCCAAGTGAGGCTGGGGAGTGATTACTCGAAGGTAAAGCTAAAGATCACGAATTGATCACAGATCGCGGAACAGATTGGCCCAAAGGAGCGAACAAAAAATAACAAACCCCCAAATCTCTTTAGTTAAAATTAAATCCATGCGGGGGATGGCATGTTCTTCCAATTAAATTGGCCTAAAATGCAGTAAAAATTGAAATCTTAGGATGTAGTCCTAAATGGGCTTATTCGGAAGTGGCTACTCAGGCCAAGTACATATAACCAGGTTATAAGGGTGGCAACTGTAAATTCACAGTTGGCTTTCCTTGTCCAGCTAAGTTATGGTGGAGATTTCCACGCCTTTCTGGCTTTTAAGGGGCTGTGAAATCTCTCTCCCCCATGCATAAATTACATATGTAGGTGTACACACAAAAACATTCATATGCACACACATGCACAACATACATACTAGGGAAAGAGAAAGAACGTAAGAATATGAATCCATTAATTTTCATTTCTGTAGATCGATTCAACAAAAATCACATTTATTTCCCATAATCGTTTAGGCTCCTACTACCAATGCTTCGCCATTCATTTATGCTGCATTATATACTATTAAATAAGAATGACTCTTACTTATAAGTTAGTTATATATTTTTAAAATAAGCAATGCTATTAATATTCTACTTGTTGGCATTTTGCAGAGAAGGTATGCTACCATTCTTTTTTCTTTTTAAATTGATTAGAATAGACCGACATCAGTTCAAGATATTAGGAGGGCCCTAAATTGGGATTTGGGAAGAAAGAATTCGGATCCGAACCTAGGGAGATCAGCAGTGTCTGTTCTTTAAGTCTATGCCTGAAAGCCTCTTAGAATTTCCCCTATTTCACGTCGCTGATTCTAAGGATATTTTGGGGACCAGTCTAAGTTTTTAGGGACCTTCCTAAGCTAATATTAAATATTAAAATATCATCACCACCACCATCACCTTGTCTCTCTACCTTGCCAGCTTTCAGACTTCCGGCAGAGCTGTTTCAGAAAAAAAAAAAGTTGGCCTTCCATTTTTTTCCCACCCTTTGACGGTTTAGTTGGAATCCGTTTTTCCACCGGAAGCCTGATATTGCCTACTAAAAATTAACCACCCCCCGCTTCCCAAGACTTCTGGGAAAACCCTGGGATTCAGCCTTTGTGCTCTGGAAGACGACCAGCTCAGTGGCCGAAGTGGCCGAAGAACCGCTTCGCCCCTGAGCGGAAGTCCCCCTTGATCTGCTCGAGGGCCAGCGGGGCTGCCTTGCGTCGAAAGGACTACTGCGCCAAAGCCGTTGGCGTTTAAAAATAGGCCGAACTGGGCTCGATGGGACTTACTTCCAAAGAAGAGCGCGTTCACACGGGACGCTAGGGCTTGGCCGGTCGTTCTGGGTCAAGCAGGCCGTTCCGCTGGCTGTCCCGCGCCTTGGTTTCAAGTCTCTTAGCTCTTGCGAGCCCCTCCGTTTGGGGAAGGCTCGGAGGAAAATGCGCGCGTAAGGAGAGGGGGGGGGGTGCCTTTGGGATTGACAGCCTGCCTTCGGCTTTTGACACCCCATCCTATCCCGAAGGGGCGGGGCTCCTTCCCCGCCTGGGGGAGGGGGAGAAGCGCGCGCGCGCGAGCCGGTGGGGGGGGGAGGAGGGAGTCTCGAGAAAGAGCGCAGCCAGGAAAGGGCGCCCCAGGATCACGTGGGGGAAGAGTTGAAAGGTGAGGGGCTGCGCGCCCCCACCTCCGCCTCAATCGGCCGAGTTCTCCCTCGGTCTGGGCCGGGTTGCCCTGTGCATCCTCTCCCCGACCTTAATCCCAGGGTCGGTTGCAGGAGATTCGTGTCACAGAGTGTTCGTACAGTAAATGACGCGCGCATAATTAAAGCAGGTTCAAATGGCTTTGATCTGCACTGGGGATTTATCTCTTTTGCCTTGCGCGTTTCCACCCCCCCCCCGCCCCTTTCCTGCTTCTCTCGGTTCATTTTTAAGGAAGTGGTCCCCATCCAGTTGGGAAGAGCTGCCCGATCTTCTGTTAAT